GCCTTTTGTTGCTAACAAATTTTGATCTGTAATTCAGACACATACATACATATGTATATTCCACAATATTTTACAACTTCCAGTTCAAATGACATACTTTTTATCCTATATTATAAACGCAAACTCCAACGACTAAAAAACAGCAATAGAAGGATGAGCGATTAAAGAGTATTCTCAGTCGCTAATTGAGCGACTAAGCGAGTACTCACAATAGCATCGATAATCGATAATCGCTTAATATTCGTTTATCTACTGTCATTCGACATTCGCAATAGGGGTGTTTATGTGATTTAGAGGTTTTTACCTCGTAATATTTTTATTATGATAATTTCTATGAAATACATCCGTTGCAAAAAAATTTGCCGCACTGCGTTTCTCTCATATTTTTTTTATTTTTTATATGTATCTGAGTAAATACCATTCATCATTAAACATATAGTTCTGCTGTGTAACCGTGTTTTATTTATTTTCGGTCCCTTTATTATAAAATTTTATTATGCGGTGTTAAGGTTTTATTTATTTTCGGTCCCTTTATTATTAAATTTTATTATTCGGTGTTAAAGATTCCCAGAGGATGATTAACTTGTGATTTAAGAAAAATTAATTTAACTTAATACGGAATACACAATGAGTACCGATACGAGTAGGTATCGATACTTTAGGTCCGATATTTTTCAGGCATCGATACTTTTTTTCAATACTACTTCCGAGAAAAAGTATCGATACCCGCATGGTATAGTTTTGATCTCTAATTGTAACGCGTTACTCCATCGATACAAAAATTAAGCGCTTACCAAAAATATACAAGTTTTTGCTGGGACCTTAAATAAATTTGATTAGTACAGTATCTATTGGAGCAGTATCAGCTTTAAGATTACTTTTATTTTTGTTGTTTGTGTGAAATATTTTATTTTTATCAGTATTTTTCTTTTAATGAAACTATGTTAAAATAAAAGTTAAAAAAAAAAAATATTTTGTCAAGAAAATATTTTTGTTTCTTCTGTTTCTTATTTAGAACATGATCTCTTTCTACCACATACTTCTACGCCAGTTTCTTGAGAATATTCTTCCGAGGAGCTACTTTTGTTAGCTTCGGACGGACAAAATTTACTCCCAGAGTCGCTAAATGCATTTGTACTGCTATCGCTCATATAGATTTGACTAGACATGCTAGAATCTATCTGTGTATTTAAGGTTTGCATTGTAGATGAATCAAGTTCTGAACACATTGAAAACGACGAGCTACCGACCACAGCTTCCAATTTGTCATCTTTATTATCTAAGCGCTTTGTCGATGGCGACATGATTTCTTTGAACGCGGCAGCGACATCATGAATTTGTATGAGTTTGACATAAAATAAGAGGAAGAACCTTATCTGTGGCCACAACCACAGCCGTCGCGTAGCCCGGTCGTCGCCAAAATAATTATCTACATAAGAGTACGTGTTAAAATAATTTGACAGCTGTGGTTTGTAGCTCGTCGTTTTCATTGTGTTCGGGCTATAATGCTCAATGTTTGGGCACGTCATTTTCAACAATAAAGTCGCAACTAAAAAATAAAATTTTCCAATCAATTAATAAAAACTTGGCATTCTTTATTCAAAATATGCAAACTAATATAACAGTAAAACCTAAATTTTATTGTATTTGGTTTTAAACTAATAGCCTTCTGACGAACTTGTGATAATCTTAATTATATAATCAAAAAAGACACTTATCAATATAATACAAACGATTTTACTTACTTCTTCCAGATAAAAGGAATCAATTTGAAATATAACATCACAAAATTTAACATTTATTGCCATAATAGCGACACAACTTAAAATAGTACGTTTTAGGCGTAACAAAACTATTCAGTCATCCTTAAGCTCGTTGACACAACTAAAAATAATAATCTTTAGTTGATACTGCGCAAGCGAAGCAAGCGACGAAAAAAAACAGAAACAAAGCACAACAGTACTTTTCTAGTTAAAGAAGATAGTGATGAGAAAGAAATTACTTGTGAAGTTAGAGATGTGTTCTGTGAATTGGTTTATGGGAAAAACCCGATTTTGAAAAATGTTGGAGCTGTGACGCTTTTGTATTTAATGTGCGATATCTGCTCCACAAAGAAATAACTCATATATTCATGCCTATTACGGTATCCGACGGATGCCATCCGCACGGATCTAATCCAATTCGCACTGTCATAACAAGAGAGTGTGAGGTTTAGGTTCGTTCGAATGCCATCCTTCGGACCAGAATTGGCATTTATCCTAGGGATGTCATTCGCATGAATCTAGTCCTTTACACTTGCTTGTTATGACAGTGTGATTCGGATAAGATCCGTGCGGCTGGCATCCGTCATAACATAATAGGCAATAATATCTAGTTGGGTGTATTAGGTGTAGCTTTATCAAAATGTAGAATTGTTGAGTACTTTATACTTAAATTTAAATTACCCCCCTGTTATGAATTTTCATACGATAGACGATAAACGCTTGCAAGCGTATCGTATAAAATGAGTTTTCGTATTATGGTTTCCACACGCCCGATAGATGTACTATTGTGAATGACAGTGGTATTTGTTTACCATTTGTTGTGAATTTAAATGAAACAGCTGTCATTCAAAGCAAACATTTTGTACTTAAAAGTCGCGCAAACTTACCGTAAGCCATACAAAATTAAGAAAGACATGTTTCCTTCAACCTCAATTGCGCTTTATCTAAATCCAAATGAATAAATTGATGAAACTCTCATAGAGGCTACAGTAAGAAGGCAATTGAGAGATGCTTCCAATCCTCTGGAGGTGAACTCGATAATGTAAGTAACTGGAATCAGTTTTACTTGTTAAATATTAAACAAAAATCTATAGATTTCAGAGAAACTTTCGACTTTCGAAAGAGGCTGTTTATATACATAAATATTAGAGGGCAAAGTTCCCAGCCAAACTGCACTTCTCACATTCAATCGAAAAATAGGAACACATGCTTGCGGTACTCAAAAAAAAGTAACAAAAGTAGAGAAGATCCCAAATGAGCGTTCCTGAACGATGTTACTCGACGGCGCTCTCCTTCACCAAATACGTGTTCCGCTATGCTCACATACTTAAGTATCAAGCAACCTGAACGTAGTATTTGGAAACTTCACATAGGAAGGTCAAACTGCACGTGAAGCTTTATGTTCTCTTTATGGGCTTGGATTCTACTTATAACACGCGAAGAAATTGTTTTTTTGAATGTGACCAGTTTTGCATTCGTTCACTTTCAAAAAATGGGGTGTGATGTTAAAGCGATTGGTCTGTAGATGTGTACTAACTAAGGTAAACTTTTTTTTAAAGTGTTGCCACCTAATAAAAATTTTAATTAAAATTATTTAATAAGTTAAATCACTTATTAAAGTATGGGTATTACTATAAATTATTTTGAAAAGGCTCCATTTCTAATATATATGTAGGATTGTTGCCATCCATTTAAAACGTCAAATTCAACCAAACTTACGGGCATAAGGTAAATGAAATACATAGATACATATTTATGTATTAAAATATGGGTGTTCGAATACGTGAAGCAATTTTTTGTGAAGGAGATCAGATCTGCACAGTTCTTTCGAATTTAAAAAATTAGATGTTAAATTAAGGACCTTGGTTTTATTTTTTGAAGTAAGAACTTTTTTACAGGTACAGGATGAATTGATGCAATTGATATTGATAACAAAACCTATAAAAATATCGATTACAAAATCGATGACAAATTCGTTAAAGTTTCGATTATTATATCGATAAGTTCCAAGAATCCCGAAAATCTCTATATTGTATAATATATTTAATGTAACTTTTTAGGCTAATGGCAACCCTATTAAAAATATTACCTCTTGATAAAAGTGCACTGAAATGCCTTTCGTTCGATAAAAGCGTTACAAAATTTTACGCCACTGAAATATGTTATTCACTTTATTTTCAGACAGATGGCAAGCCTATGTAAAAATTTGCATTTTTTCCGAAAGCGGTAAAGTGACCTTCAAAATTGTGTTTCAATATTTAAATTTGATGTAGTATGAGGGTAGATATGGAGCCATTACATAAAAATACCTTAAAGAAACTTAAATGTATGTATGTATGTATGTACATATATACATGTATATATAAAAAAAAAACCTATAGAAAAAAACGTAAATATATTTTATGTGCACGAGACATATCATATTTCTTATATATAAATTATGCTCTCAAATGAAATCTTCCTAAAATACTTGAAAACTTCACATGAAGGAACCTTTTACTTGAGGTAGTTTCACAACGTAGTACTCGTCTTTTATGTTCCCCTCTTTTTCGGAACATATTTTTGTCGAGTACTTTACTTAGTTACTCGACGCTTTGCGACTATACATCTCTTCACTGTCCGCGCTCTCAGTGAGAGGAAGAGAAGGAAGCGTATTCGCTAGAAAACTTCAATGTGAAGCCAAATATCTTCCGATGCAGAGCTCTAATAAATATGTATGTATGTTCTAGTAGAAGTGGAGATCGACTTGCGTGCACGTAAAAAATATATATAAATAATATTTTGTTAAGACGTTTCCATAAATTCATGTTATTAATTTTAATACTTACATTCTTTTATTTTTGTTAAATTGTATCGTATCGTATAAAAATGGACAACCGCTCGCAAGCGTATGGAATTGAACAGCTGATACGATAACTATCGTATGGCAATACCAAAATTTAACGCTATACGATAAACGGTAGCTATCAAATTTCATACGCTCGAATTTAATTCGTAATACAGCACAACAGAATGCAAGCGTTTATCGTGTATCGTATGGATTCATAATAGGGGGTAAGAAAAAACTTTTTTCTGTACAATGTCAGACCCGTGAAGATGGAATCGCCTATATACAGTTTGTGTATTGAAAAAACTGCGAAATATTTGAGAGTTTTCGAATTAAGTAATATCTTTAATCAGGAAAAATATTTTTCACCCATGAAAAGGCTTCACCTTTTATCTAAAAACAAAAATAAATAAAACATTAAAAATTTATATTTATATCAATATTTTCATGTTAGAAACGTCTCGTTTTTAACAGCTTTAATGCTCTCTCCGTATATTGCTAGAAGATAACATTTATAATCCAGCTAATATTATTCTAGGATCTTCAACGGCAGCTTTGACTTTGCGTAAGAACATTACAGCCTCACGACCATCAATCAGTCGATGGTCGTAGGTAAGAGCAATATACATCATTGGGCGTACAACAACCTAGTCATCAAAAAAAGACAGTTATTTTTCGATAACAAAGCAAAATGTAATTTAACTTACTTGTCCTTTTACGGCAATCGGTCGCTCAAATATTCCATGCATCCCCAGAATAGCACTTTGTGGTGGATTGATGATCGGAGTTCCCAACAACGAACCGAATACGCCACCATTACTTATAGTGAAGGTTCCACCGTCCATATCTTCAATGGCGATTGCGTTTCGCCTTGCCTTTTCGCCAAGTGCAGCCAAAGCAATCTCAATATCTGCATAATTCATGGTTTCAACATTTCTTATCACGGGCACGACTAAACCTTTAGGTGTAGCCACTGCTACTGAAATATCTACGTAATCTCGATAAACTATTTCCTGTAATTGGTAAAAATGTTTCAATAAAATCGAAAGTAATTTCAATAAAATCAAGTAGTTTAAAATAAAAACAAGCTTTAATAAGTCTATAATAAAAAAGAAAAATCGACCCCGCACCCTTTAACGGCTAATTTGTTTGCGTAGTAAATTCTTTCTTTTTAATAATATACATTTTAAATATTAACCAAATCGGACCATAAGCATGGTTTTTCCAAATATCTCAAATCCTGCGCCACCTAGCGGATCAATTCATCTTTTATATTGCATTGTCATTGGGCTCCGATCTCTAAGTTTGAAGATTCGAGTCTCTAGCTCTGGGGGAAGTTGGTTAAAAATTGATAGCAAGATTATATTACACATAGGGGAAACATAATAAAATGTTGTAAAAAGATATATTTTTGGCGGCCCCTGTGGTGTATTGGTAAGCAGTGCGCGCTTTCACTCCGCAGTGCATGGGTTCTGGCCCTGGTCAACGCAACACTGCAAAAAAAATTTAGGAAAAAGGTTTTTTCTTAATAGCGGTCGCCCCTCGGCAGGCAATGGCATACCTCCGAGTGTATTTATGTCATGAAAAACAGCTTCTCATAAAAATAAAATCGCCGATCGGAGTCGGCGTAAAACTGTAGGTCCCTCAGCTTTGTGTGACAACATCAAGCCGCACGCCACAAATCGTAGGAGAAGCTCGGCCAAACACTAACATATGTGTAAGCGCTAATCTATTCTTATTGTTATTAAAAAGATATATTTATAAGAACTAATGGCCCTATTCAGGGTTGCCACTGACGAAAAAAAATATTTACCATCCACTTGAGAAAAATCTACCAAATCTAAAAAATATCTACCAATAAATTTTTTTATAGTTATTTTAATAAAAACTATAGCTTTATTTTTTTCTTTTTTTCAATTAAAACTAAAGTTTTGCTATTTTTTAGTTATTTCAATAAGAATTAAAGTTGTTTTAAGGAAATTTTTATTTAGCTAATTATACGGTATTTGAGTCATATTATTAGCATATTCGCAGTTTCTTTCAAAGCGGAAGTGATGAAACTAAAGGCAACAACGAAACTTCATAATTTGAAAAACTTTATTATTATAGACAAATACTTCTTCTTCTTTATTGGCGCTGTAACCGCCTAAGCGATTTTGGCCGAGTCCAAAACAGCACGCCAGTCATTTCTCTTCTGTGCTAACTGACGCCAATTGGAAATGCCAAGTGAAGCCAAGTCCTTCTCCACCTGGTCTTTCCAACGCAGAGGAGGCCTTCCTCTTCCTCTGTTATCAGTATCGCGGCCCGCGTTGAAAATTTTCAGAGCAGGAGCGTTTCTGTCCATTCCAACGACATAGCCAAGCCAGCGGAACCGCTGAATTTTAATTCGCTGCACTATGTCTATATCGTTGTAAAGCTCATACAGCTCATCGTTAAATCGTCTGCGATATTCGTCATCACCAACGCGTAAAGGTCCGTAAATCTTTTGCAGAATTTTTCTCTCGAAAACTCTAAGAGCCGCCTCATCAGATGCTTTCATTGTCCATGCCTCCGCGCCATACACCAGCACAGGCATGATGAGTACTTATAGAGTGTGAACTTTGTACGACGAGAGAGTACTTTACTTCTACTCTACTTCTACTTTTTGCCTACTCAGCCCAACGTAGCACTTTTTGGCAAGAGTGATTCTCCGTTGGATTTCAAGGCTGACAAATACAGTGACTCAAAAAAGCACCTGGTGATTTTTTTATTATTCGCAATGTTTTTCAAGTAAAATTTTTTTGTTGTTTTAACTAAATTCATAAAAATTAAGGATTCAAACTATATACAACATTTAGAAAAATTCAAAAAAATTTCGTCCAAACTTCGAATTTTTTACTCTGAATTTTTAGAACAATTTAAGATACCGAGTTTTAAAGCAAATAATACTTGAGTATAGCTCACACTGTGGTTCCCGTTGATTTTTATACCCGAGCGCACTTGTGCACAAGGGTATTATAACTTTGTTCACATAACGATTGTTTGTAACAGGCAAAACGAATCGAGATAGATATAGACAAATGTATACATAAATGATCAGAATGAAAAGAGAAATCGATTAAGCGGTGACTGTCTGTCCGTCCGTCCGTCCGTCCGTCCGTCTGTGCACACGATAACTCGAGTAAAAATTTAGATATCTTAACGAAACTTGGTACGTGAACCTCTTTTGTGCGTAGGACGGATGGTATTGAAAATGGGCGAAATCTGACAATAACCACGCCTACCTCCCATATAACGGTAATTTTCAGAAATACGAAAACTGCGATATTTTAGTAACTACAGAAGATTATTCACTCAAAATTGATATTTACAATGAGTTTTAGACGAAAAATAAGAATATTAAAAAATTTTGGCAAATGGGCGTAGCCACGCCCACTTATGGTTACATGTGTATATCTTGGTAACCGCTACACCAATTTCTTCCAAACTTGGTACAGCATACCAAATGGCCGAAAATTTTTAAAATCGGACAATAACCACGCCCACATCCCATATAACGGTAATTTCGAGAAATACAAAATCTTCGATAAATCAGTAAATATTAAAGCTAATTTATTCAAAATTGATGGTTGCAACAATTCTTTACCAAGAAATACGTTTATGATAAAATTTTGGAAAATGGGCGTGGCACCGCCCACTTGTGATCACATATATGTATCTCGCTAACCGTTCTAGCAATTTGTACCAAACTCGGTATGGTTATTGTGCTTGCCACATAAAAGCAAACCGTTGAAAATTGTTGAAATCGGTCTAAAATTACGGCCGCTTTTCGTATAACGGTAAATTTCAGAAATGCTTGAAATTTCAATATTTCGAAATTTAAGGACGCTAATTTAATCAAAATTGATACACCCCGGCTTATCATGTAGCGGTAGCTTTCGGAAAGGTGGAAAACAATTTTCAATACTTGCGCCGGGTATTTAATGTTCGGCTCCGCCCGAACTTAGACTTTCTTACTTGTTTTTTTATTAATTTTATTTAACAATTTCTATTGATAAAAAATGACGTTGATTAAATTTTTTTTGCGAACAAGTATAGTGCGTCATTACATACCTGTAAATTTTTTTTATTTGTATTTAAATAATCATTTAAAATATTTAGGCAATCAAAAGCTCCCCGGGATTCCAGTAAAATGAGTTTTGAATGGAGCACGATATCTTCGCCTTATATCGATATACATTTATACGTATGTAAGTATATAAAAAGTATGCAAAGAAATTTATAATATAAAGATAACTACGAAAAATAAATCGGTAACGAAGAGTTCAAAAAATATCTACCAAAATGAGAAAAAGATACCTTTTTACCAACCCAAATTTTTTCTACCAATTTTGGTAACAATTTACCAAAGTGGCAACCCTGGCCCTATTATGTATAGCGACTGGTGTCCAGTTCTTGGTCTACCAGTAGCCTTGGCTACCAGTATCGTACTTTGTATTATGTATAGCGGTCAGTGTAAAATAAAATAATTTAAAAAAATATTTTTTTAAATACAAGCTCTTATTTAACATGTGCAATCAAAGGAATAAAATAAAATAATGTAAAAAAAATATTTTTAGTAAGAAAATTGTGTTAAAACTTCACTAAAAGGAATAAAATAAAATAAGTTAAGCTTTCGTTAAAGTTACTAAAAGCCAAATGGCGCAAGGAATTACTCAAACTCTAATGAAAATTACTAACAATTTGTATTGATTTACTTCGGTTTTAAAAAAGTTTGTCGCGCGAATAGCGAACCGGCATTTACTTACATATCTTCATACATATGTATAAAAAATTATGCATGTACGTTGAATTCGCCGACAAGCTCTTTTAAAACCGAAGTAAATCAATACAAATTGTTAGTAATTTTCATTAGAGTTTGAGTAATTCCTTTCGCCATTTGGCTTTTATTAACTTTAACGAAAGCTTAACTTAATTTATTTTATTCATTTTAGTGCTGTTTTAACACAATTTTCTTGCTAAAAAATCTTTTTTTTTACATTATTTTATTTTATTCCTTTGATTGTACATGTTAAATAAAAGCTTCTTTTTAAAAAATATTTTTTTACATTATTTCAAATTGAACTTTTTAGTTTTATTTTACATAACCCGGACATAATATTTTTATTAACCCTCCATTAGGCGCATGGGTTCTACTCACGCGGTTAGTCGCGTGGATTACAATAGTAGTCCAACTTCTTTGGCTGCTATAATATTTTATTAAAAAAAAAATTTATATTTGTTTCCAATAAATGATTATTTATATTATTTAATACGTCTCAAACATATTTTGACTTTAGTTTTATCTAACTTTTATGAGAGAAATATTAAAACAGGCAATGCGTGT